GCACAGCCTGTATCCAATTAGGAGCTCAAACATAGCTGCATCCCATACCTGAAAATTTAATAAACTGATCAGAAGAGGCAGTGTAACCCGCAGCCTGGAATAGAGCACAGAGGTCACTGGCACTGGTTATGGAGTATCACGTACAAAATCCTTGCAAAACAGGCAGTGGCGGGAAAGTGCACAGGGAGAGCTGCTGACTTTACTGAACAGCAAAGTTATTTTGCCACTACCAAACCAAAACAAGGCTCTGGTTTAGGAGAAGACCTATGCTCCCCTACAAGGACAGGTGGTGTCCTCCCTCCTGCACTCACAGACATCACTTACAAACCTAGATACGGCCTTCCATGCACCGTACTTTGTCCAAAGAAGAATCAGCACATTTTAACAAGAGGGTCAGTCGCTCATTGGTGAGGAAAACTTCCATCATTAGTCTCTTTCAAGAGGACCAAGATGCAATCGCTGTTCTGCACCGTTACAAGGCACTTTGGGGCAGTGTCTTGCTCAAGCCGGCTTCTTCAGCTACGGTAGGCCTTCAGCAATTGACCTGCTATCACCAGTCTTTGGATCTCACTGGTCCCCTCGTAGATCTCGGTGATACGAGCGTCGCGGTAATGGCGTTCTGCTGGCATCTCTGTCACGTAGCCCATCCCGCCCAAGATCTGGATAGCCTGAAACAAAGGTAGCCAGTTAGAAAGGAAGCAGGGTTAAGGAATTTGTTTTTCTACAGAACACGGCTGCCTTAAATGGAGCTAAGCCCACTGCCACCATAACTGGGGGTGGGAGTCAGGGCTGGGGTGGCACACAGGGTGACTGCAGCCCATTTGCAGGGGAATGAACAGGCTTTGAGACAGGTAAGAGCAATACCCATGTCCCAAAGAATGAATCACTTCAGAGGTAGCTGTTAGTGATCCACGTTCAGCTAAGACACTTTTACTACGGACAGGGGAAAATAAATGCTGACACCAGCCATCCTGCTCTGTTTGCTCACTATGTCGCAAACTTACTGCACGTCCTGACTGATGCATCCGTGCCCCGTCCCACATCTTTGATCCCACTCAAAACTTTGACACTGTCCTGGGACAGCAGCAGGAACAAGATGACTTTAATCATACAGCTGCCACAAACCAGCATAAACCCCTCCACACACACCCCACCCCAAAAATCCAGCAAGATGGTTGTGCTAAACGAACAAACCCATATGGCTGAAGCTGGTTGGTGGTTGGGTTTTTTTATAAATAATCTAGTAAATTCCATCCCACCTTCCCCAAGCACCCATTTTGCTACAACAGAATTGCCCTTTCAGCATGCTGTGTACCAGAGATGTCAACTGAAGTACTTACCTGATGAGCGATGGCTGTTGCAGCTTCTGATGCAGCCAGCTTGGCCATCGCCGCTTCCTTTGGGGAAGGAAAACATCACTGAGGGTGCAGCGATTACAAAAAGGAACACCTTACTTGCACAAGGAGCTTGAACGCTCACAGACCAGCTGTGCAGGAAGACAGGCCTGACTGCTGCTGACAGTGGCCACCCCTCTCCCCTTGGCTAAAGCCAGGACTCGCCTCACCAGTCTGCCCGAGGATAGACAGCAAAGTCCAGTATCTGCTGGTGCGTTAAACACCAACAGCGCTGGCTGGGCAAGCACTGAAGGCAGTGATGCAGTACATAGTGCGGTCTCCTTGCTTTAAGCCTGTACCCAGCACTGCCACTGCTAGACAAATGCAAGGTTGGAAGTACCTTTGTGAAGGGCTTCCCATTGTCTTTCAGCATAGCGGCTCTCCAGGTCAGCAAGCGCGCACTCTCCAACGCCACAGCCATATCAGCCAGCTTAAACTGCAACGACAAACACTGCCTTTGTTCCAGGTGGCAGCCTCTGCCTGCACAAGAACATACAGCAGAAGTCTCCCACCGCTGAGGCCAATATTGCTAGAAAAGGAGCGCCTTCATCCCAATAGTTTTAATGATGTTTGAAAACAGGTATTAGTACCTTTTTTATCCCAGACAGTGCAAAGTGCACTGCCTGCCTGAAGCCACACCTGCGAGCCCGCATGAACTTTCCATCAGCACCAGCAATATTTGGAACTGCCCTGTGCACCCAGCTCGTACCTGCACTGCCTGTAGCTTTGTGATGGGCGACCCAAAGGCCATTCTCTTTTCAGCATAATCCACAGCACAGTCCAGAGCTGCCTGTGCTATTCCAAGAGCCTGTGAGGCAATACCAATCCTTCCTGCATCCAGAGTTTGCTGCGAAAGACACAAAATATATGCGCTTAGTCATCACACTTGATCAAAAAGAGTACAATCGCATTTCTGCTCTTGCTGGGAAGCTGCTATAGCCTTAGTATCCTCTGCTCAGACCTCCTTGATTCAGAATATTACAAGTTATGCAGGACTAGAGAGCTATAAAATGTACTGGGCGCTGTAGAGAAAAGCCAGAGGCACAAGAAGGAAAGCAGAAAAGAGAGGTATTGCCTATTAGCTGAGCAAAATAAATTTAAAAAAAAAGAGTGCAAAAGGAGGGAACAGCACACTGAGGAGCATCTACTCCGGAAGGGGGTGAAAAGAACAGTTCAGCTAGACCCACTGGCTCACTGTGCCACTGATTTTACTTTAACTGAAAAAAAACAGAAATCCGGTCAGTTTTCCTCTTTCCTCTGGTCAGTTTCCTCTGTCTTTCCTCTTTTCATCATTAGTACACAGACTGAAACAGGCATTTTTCAAAATGACTAGTGAATTGAGTCAATAACCTGACTTGCCTCACACGCTTGCCCATTAGTCTTTTAACTGCTTCCCTACCTCACTATGCACAGAAATAATTTACAGGACAGTAAGAAAAGGCTTCATCGTCTCAGTCCTGGGCTGAGTGTCTTAAAAAACTGGTTGGTGACTGATGCTTTCTTTTAGTTGCGGACATAATGGAAGGGGCTGGTCTCCAGGGAGCTCAGACTTTTTCAAAAAGTCAGGCCAACAAATGGTGTTTTGCCCCTACAGAGAGCAATGAACGCTTCCAAGGGGGAGTGTGTCACTGCAAGGAACGCACTGTTCCGCAGCTGCCTGGCTCCTCCTCAGAAGTCACACACGTGCCGTAACTCAGATTTCATCCACCTTTAGACATTATCCAGAGGTTGTCCTGTGCCTCCAGGACAGCTTTCCTCTGCAAAGTATTTAGGGAAAATGCCATGATTTCCTTTTATCTGTGGGTACAAACTGGAGGAACAGAGGGTTGGGAAAGAAGCAAAATTAAAATACACCACCCCTGCTGACACAGCACATCAGCGGCATCAGTGCTCTTTCATCAGAGAACCACTACAGTGAGTCTACAACAAAAGCGCTGTCAAGGATCTACGGTAAATTAATGATTCATCAAGCTCTATGAATGATTTTCCCATGCTGGCAAGAGAGGTCAACTGCTTAATGTTACACAGAGTAACTTAGGCTAGCAGTTCTCACCGAAGTGATCGTAAGTCTGAAAATGGTTTTGAAAATGGTAAGCTTGGAAACTACAGCTTTATACAACCACAGCTGCACCCCAATCCATCTCTTACCATGGCGATTTTGAAGCCCATTCCCAGCTGCCCCAGTAGGTTGTCCTTGGGTATCCGACAGTCCTCAAATATCAGGTTGGCAGTGGAAGAGGCTCGGATTCCCAGCTTGTCTTCTTTCTTCCCCAGTGACAGCCCAGCAGTTGGCATGGGAACCAGGAACGCGCTAATGCCCTGCAACAAGACCCAACTCTTAGGAATGGTGCCAACTTCCCACTTACCTGGCTGTCACCAGGCTTCCTCCAAACATTTTTCATAGAAGCCGTATGTCTAGGTAACCAGGAGAAGGGAGGGGAGCGCCGAGACAGAACAAAGCCAGCACACATCAGCCCCGCTCTGCTCAATGCCTGCATGGCTCTAAATAAGGGAGCCTCCAGGGCCTTGTCCAAGTGCTTCTCCTGCACAACTCCTTTACTCCTGCCCCTTTTTCTTGACTGACCCACTGAACACACCTTGTGTTTCAGGGATTTATCCGTAGTAGCAAACACCACGGTGGCCGAGGCGTCCCAGGCGTTGGTGATCCAGGCCTTGGTGCCATTCAGAACCCACTCGTCACCATCCAGGCGTGCCACTGTGGATGCTGCACCAGCGTCACTGCCATTTCCTGAGCAAGGCACCAGCAAACAAAATTCAGGCAAGCAGTCGCAGCCTGGGGCGCAACCCCATCCCCTGCCCACAACCCCACCGTCAGCTCATGGCATCTCTTGTAACTGTGGTAGTGTCGGCACTGTTCCTCCCAAAGGACCCAAACAGGAAGGGGAAAGGTCAATGTGTCTAAGATGTGTCTGTCTCCAGAGCTCTGCTCACAGAGGGGATGGCAGTTAACACCTCGTGCACTAAGACTTCATTTAGACAGAACTGCTATAAACCATCCTACAAACTGTTACAATTTCACAGACCTGAAGTCCATCCTAAGCCTGACTAAGGAAAGAAGCTACCCTATGTTCTTTCCATAGGAATGGTAACAGTCACATCACCTGGTTCACTAAGGGCAAAACATCCAATTTTATCCCCACTGGTGAAGGGAGCAATCCACTTGTGCTTCTGTTCTTCTGAGCCAAACTTGAGTATTGGCCCTAAATACAGAGACTTAAAGAATTGAGAGTTGAGTTAGTGCCTCTTGAAGGTACAAGCAATCCAGCAACTCCCTAATGTCTAAGTGCTCTTCAACACACCAGAACCCACCACAGGAAGAGATCCCCTTTCTCCTGCACATCCCTCTCCAATAACCCCCCTCATGCCAGCCTCAGTTCCATGCCTGTCCCTCACATGCAACCTGAGACACTCACATTATTGACACTGACAATGACGCCTGTGGACGCGCAGCCCCTGCTGATCTCCTCCACGGCAATGGAATAAGCCAGGTAGTCAAGGCCTGCTCCTTTGTACTCCTCCGGCACATCCATAGCCAGCAGCCCTAAGCCACCCATCTTCTTCACCTGCACGTCGGGAACAGAGAAGTAAGATCCTCTGCACCACCATTGTCCCAGCAAATACACGCAGACACATGGAGATAAAGACAGGTCATAGCAGGACTACACACAGAGGAAAAGATAATAACTCCCGGTGAAATGGGAATCTGACTGTACAAACTGGTAAGTGTCCCCAGGTCACAATGACTTCAACAAGAGCTGTACACAGTCACTGCTGTCTAAGATGAGGCTCTTGTTTATTTAAAGAGCTCTCTTCAGTACTGGGAAGGAGGGAGCCTTTTGAAGGTGAAATAGGGAGATACAACCCCACCAGCATTTCCTCAGCCTCCCACCAAAGCTTTTCCCCTCATATGTCTCCTGTCAGTTGGAAGCTCTCAATGGCAAATCTAGCTGATAAAAATCATTAGAACTTTACCTTTGAGTCTGCTGAGCTTCAGCCTAGGACTGCACAAGGAAAGAATTTTACAGAATGAATGACCCACAGAACAGTTTGCAAGAAGGTGATTTTTCATTCCCATTAAAGCCAGGTCTTGCTTTCCAGAGAATTTAATTGTTGATTACATTTCAAATTATTCCACCCCAAGTTCATCAGCTGGACCCCTGGCTTCTTAAGCATAAGCTCTTCAGAGCACTGACTGTCTCACTCTACTCTTTTTGTTAATGTTTGGCAACATACAAAAAAAAACCCCAAGCTTTCATCTGCTTTTATATTCAGATGTCAAGCTTTTGGTGTTGCAGAAATAATCATATTACCAGCCTCTGTTTGCTTTAAGAGGAATCAAAAGGAATTTTTAAACAAATATTTTCCTTCCTGTATGGCCAACCGAAACACTGGTCCTTCACATCAAATCCAGAGGATGAACAAAAGACAGCAACTAGTTCAATGCACTTTATCTTAATAAAAAGTGTTTACATTTTTAATTTTCCCCTACACACTTAAGTGAAAAGACTCAAAATCAAATTTAAAGTCCTCAGATAAGAACAGTGAAGTAATAAGGAAAATATTTCCTTCCTTAGAGTATGACTTTCCTGGCTATCTTCCTTACTCCTTAATGGAAAGAGGGGCATATGACAAAACTCGCATGCTTCTGACTGTGCTTGCTTGGAGCCTTTTGGCTAACGTAGCATTATATATTTTTCTGGAGCTTAGTATTTCATTGCAATGAAGCAGGTGAGTTAGTCTGCTCAACATGGCACAGAATGTACTGCTGTGTCTGTACTGCTTTCCACAAGACAAGTCACAGGTTTGATTGGAATCTCAATTTCTTCACAGCCCTAGAGGATGACCAACATGCCTACCTGATCACTTCTTTTTACCATCTCAAATGCAGTCAGGTCATATACACATCCTCACTATAAGCCATTTTTATAGTTATGTGCAGTCTATAAAAGTATTTCATTGATTTTATAAGTCAGTTGTATTACAGCCCACAGGAAAGTCAGTGAGAGAACTGAAAATGCAATGGTACTAAAGCCAGATACAGAGAAACACAAGTAAAGGTAACAAGCTGAAAAAGTCCGGTGAGCATTACAACCTCCACACTCAAAGAACTCCCCCACAAGCTGGCCTAAACTTAAATTTTCTGCTAAGCCAGAGCTTAATGTACATTTTGCTTCAGGCCCTGGTGGTCCTCCTGCAGCAGCAGACGGAAGTCTGGCTCTGAACAAGCCAGTCCGCCTCTGCCGTGTTCACCTCCCAGCGGGAGCAGCACGCACCTGTTCGGCCGGGAACCGGTGCTCTTTATCCAGCTGAGCTGCGAGGGGCATCAGCTCCTTCTCTGCAAAGTCTCGGCACGTCTGACGCAGCATCTGGTGGGTCTCTGGCAGCTCCGCTGTCTGGTACACGGTGTGCAGCCGACGCAGGCACCCAAAGGCCAGTGCTGGAAGGCAGTAGAGGAATTAAGCGCCTCTGTTTGCCTTCACGCCCAGAAGAGGGGGCTTCCGCGGCCCAGGAGGACCCGGCCCCAGGCTGGGGGCCTCCCCGCAGCGACCCTTTTCCCCAGAGCCGGGGCACAGCGGGCCGGGGGCTCAGCCGAAGGGCGGCGCCTCCCCCTCCGCGGCTGAAGGGACCCGCCTCAGGCCCTGAAGGGCACCGGGGCGCCGGCCGCCTCCCGCACCGGCCGCGGCCCCTTCCCCCTTTCTTCGCGCCCCCCCCCGCAGTCCCTCGAGCAGCGGGAGCCGAAGCCAGGCCGAGCCCGGCGCCCTCACCCCTGGGCGCCCCGCCGCCGCTGCGGGCCAGGAACGCCGCCGCCGCCGCCATGGCCGTCGCCTCAGGGGAGCGCGAGGAGGCGGCGCAGGCGCGAGCCGCCAGCCCAAGCGCGAGCCGCCCGCGCAGCGCCTCCTGGCGGCGCAACCCCTCCAGCTCCGCCCCCCCGCTCTGGCCCCGCCCCCGAGACCGGGTCCCGCCTGTGCGAAAAGGGGAAGTTTCTTTATTACTATTGCTGGTGACAAAAATCACGTTTGTACAAATACATCGTCCCGCGGGCACGCGCCGCGGAGGGCAGGGGGGCCACCGGCTCCGTGCTGGGCCCTGGAGAGGGAGGCGGGATTGAAGGGGCACGGCCAGCGCGGCTAACGGGCCCCGACACCGCACCCCGAGGGGACAGCACGGAGGGGGGGGACGCGCCAAGAGCCCAAAGGCCACACTGTGAGAGATACAAATACATGTCCCGTAACAGCACCGAGATCCAGGCAGAGGCAGATGGCGTTTGCTGGTGTTCATTTTTCCCTTTGCTGCAGGGGAAGAGGTGATGACTCTGCCAGGGTGCCGTCCCTCAGCTGGTCCTCATCAATGGGACAGGGAGACGGCAGGGTTCCAGTCCGAGGATTACGCTGACAGCGGGCTGCGCTCATGGGCAGCAGAAGGCTCGGTAGCTCGATGTGACAGGACAGCAGGGCAGAAGGCAAACACTGGGAAACAGCTGAAGAGGATGTCATGAAACACAGCTGAGAAGTAGTTACCACATTTGGACCTTACTGCTTCACCATCACCACCTTCCTCATTCCTTTCTCCCTCCTGAATACTTGTTTTATTCTTCCTGAATCCTCGGATAAGCGGAATACACATCCTCAAGCGCCAGAGAGGAGGCTGCTGCTGCTTCTCTGCAGTAAGAGACATTGAAAATCCTAACGAAAACACACAAAGGAAGACACTTCCTACCAAAAAAGGAGGACAGGGACAGCAGTATCCAGTCCATATGACAAGAGGTGACCTTCCTTCATGACATGCAGTATGTATTCCTCAGTCAATCACAAAAATAGCTGTCCAGGAAGCTTGCTTGCATGGATCCAAAGCAATTGCCTCAAAAACGTGAAAAAGAGGTCCTGGTCCTAAGAGGACAAATACTGGAAAGAATTAACATGAGTTTGTGGGTTTGGTCCCTTTTTTTGTCAGAGCAGAACACAGTATGATCCCAACTCTTTTCTCTTTCCAATTCAGCACACGACCTGAGAGAAGCTGTCTGCACAGATACCTTCTCCCTTGCTCATATTTTAACCAACACTGAAAGCATCTCCCTTGTGTTCAGCACCTGGCCAGGACAGACCATCCACCTGACAAGGATGAGATCCCATTGGAATATCTTCCTAGCTCACTGGCATGAGTAGCTTTGACCTATCATTAAAGCATCAGAGCACACAACCCAGAAGGAAGATGCTCCGTTAAACCATGTTTACCAAAGACATCATACCTGCCACAAAGAGAGGAAACTTTACAGAAAGCATCTAAGAGAAAAGGAACTAAAGCAGGGACAGGACTTTGGAAATCCCTGACTTTCTGGATTACAACCAGCTTTTTCAATGCTGGGTTGCCCTCTTGTAGGGACTTTTTTTCTGCAGCATGCTTTTTGGGCAAAGACCACCTAATTCAGCACAGCAAACAAATTCAGCTAGAACCTGAGGGTGCTAGAGCTGCCTGCAAGTCTTCCGATTTTCCTCCAGTTTTCCTTTTTTTTTTTTTTTTTTTATTGCTGAATAGCTGATACATTCACCAATGGAAAGCAAAACGCTTCAATGCTTTTTTCTCATCACTACTGGCAGAGGTAACAAGGACAGACAGGAATCCACTTTCCCATAAGCATCAAATGCAGCATTTACATTGGGCAGAGCGCTCTCCTGCTCTCAGTCGCATTCCGCGAAGCAGCGGCTAGATGGCACCCACGCCCCGGTGGACACCCCAACTGTGCAGAGCTCCTCGCTGACTACTACAAACGGCCCACACAAGTTGGTATTTGCCCATACAGTAATTTCTGCTGCTCGCTCTGGCAACAGTCCATCTTCACATTCACCAATGGAAAGCAAAACGCTTCAATGCTTTTTTCTCATCACTACTGGCAGAGGTAACAAGGACAGACAGGAATCCACTTTCCCATAAGCATCAAATGCAGCATTTACATTGGGCAGAGCGCTCTCCTGCTCTCAGTCGCATTCCGCGAAGCAGCGGCTAGATGGCACCCACGCCCCGGTGGACACCCCAACTGTGCAGAGCTCCTCGCTGACTACTACAAACGGCCCACACAAGTTGGTATTTGCCCATACAGTAATTTCTGCTGCTCGCTCTGGCAACAGTCCATCTTCCTTTTAAGAACCTTTACGCAGTGACATAGAAAACAGATGGGAATCATCACACCCATAAGAAAAGCAAGAGGTTGCTTCCTACAGAAAATGAGATAAAAGTAACATTTAAAGGCACCTGGATTTATACTACATACAAATTCAGCTCAATATGCTAAAGTTTCCCAGGGAATAATTAGCAGGCTCTTCAGACACTATCCTGAGCATCTCTGAACACGTCAGGGTGAAATACACACTTCCACGCAGTTCTGCCTTGTCACAAGTTCCGTCAAATCAAATGTTTCCCACCTGACCGGCACGAGGCCTTCTGAAGACAATCACTGCAAGGCGCATCCCAAGCTCCACCTTACAAGCAGCTTTAGCTAATTCTGAAATAACTAAAGAAGATTGCCCTAAGCACCTTTGGAGATGCTGGAGGCAACTGATGGTAGCAGAACTGTTCTTCATCTTTCAGCCATGTAGACCTTGTCCCTCTGCATTCCCAAGACATTTGTTGTGGTTGCTCATGATTAATGCTCCACCCAGAACAGGTCATTTGTTGTGGTTAATCATAATTAAATATCTTCCCAAGAGCTGGAGATTCTTTCATGGCTGCCGCCCCACACACTCTCACTGCTTACCCTGATGCCAGCTGATCTTCTACGCCAAAGCTAACATCATTAATCTGCAAGGTAAAGGCAGTCGTTTCCTATTGCTGTCTAGGCATTAACAGGCTCCAGGCTGTGATGCCCACTGCATTTAATCCTGCTAAAATAAACTACGCTGAATCTTACTTAACACAGCAGGTAACCAACTGTATCCACCAAGGATTTAGGTTTCAACTGCCTCATGGAACAAGTGGAACTAATACTAGCAAACATCTCTAGTCTAGATGCAACCTAACTCCCGTCTACAAGAGTCACGACTGACCAGCCCAGCTAGAGACAGGAAAAATGCCAGTCTTGAGCGCCAGGAAAATGGGCAGAAAAGGGTTTTGTTAGCTGCAATTTTGCATGGTCGGGAGCTGGGCTCCAGTATAGCCGCTGGGAAGACATGGGTCTCCTCTTCCCACTGCACAGTGCTGTTAAGTAGGCAAAGCAGGGATGGGAACTCAAACAATTAAAAAAAAAAAAAAAAAAAAAAGAATCATGTAAATTCTCACTTTGTAAGAATCCCACTCCGTAACACTGAGTGATCTGACCTGGGAAGCTTTTAGCTACTAATACCTCAGCTGAAACAAAGCAAATGATGTTCTAGCACCACTGTTTCTCCTTCCAGCACCTCTGACAGATCATTCAGGTTTAAAAGTACACAGAGGTTGAAGCCTAGGAAGCTCTGCTTCCTACACATTTTTCAAGTGATTTTCCACATTCTCCCTTTTTCCTCTAAGCCGCACTAGACTGACACCTCCCCTCCACCCCAGCTAGACTGACAAGGTGCTGTCGATCTAAAAAGCAATACACTCTGTAGCGAGAGCCAAAATTCCTACACAAAGGGAAGCAGGAGAAATGGTAAATATAATGAGATTAACTTCAGCTCTAAGGTTGACCCCTGAGGTCCAAAATTCAACAATTTGCTCAAAGGAGCTCAAATAGAAATGCTATCAGACTGCCTTGATGACCAACCTGGATAAAGCCCCCTTTTTCCCCCTTATCTCGTATCTCTAGTGAAATCTCTGGCAAGACACAGATTAAACTGTTCTCGGGGCAGCTCAAGCCCCTGGAGGCAGAAAGAAGATTCCTGCACTGCTTAGAAGCTGAATTAGTCTCTTATTTTATCTTTTCCACTGAAGAACATTAAAGCGATCTCAGCCATGCTACAAACTAAACCACTGTGCACTAAAGAGACAATCTATCTGGCTGAAGAAGAGATCTGCTCTTCAGTCGTCACTGACTACTTGAAGGGGGAAAATTTTCCTGCTAAGAAATAGCTTACCCAAACAATCTGACCTCTTGAAAGAGGGCTGTCACCCCAAAGGTGAAACATCAGAAGCACTAAAAGTGCAACCTAACTATAAAGACTGTAACAGCAATAATTTTCTAACAATGCCTCTGATCCATGACCTAACCACGGTACCAGAAGGTAACCAGAAATAGAGAATGAGAGGCAGGATACGTTGAGTGTCGGATAGAGAAGTGTTGCAGCGAGATTTCCTTTACTTCCATGAGTTGTCGTCTTTGCTTCATGTTTTCAGCCTCATGCAAGGAGAAAAAGTTTGGCAAGAAGCCTTGTTGCACGAGACAGCAACTCCAGTCCACTCCTGGGCATCTGGAACAGTTAACGGCATTACAGCATCCAGCAGACACAGAATGATTACTGTCCTCCATTGTAAGCATAGTCGGCCTTGTTGTGCATAATCAACTTGTTGTCCACAAAGTAAAAGCTGTCTGAGCGGGTCTCGTATGGATTTTCAACCATCAGACGGACTGTGAAAGAGAAAGCTCAATTACATTCAAAAGCCTGCCACACTCTGCTGGACAGCACAAAGTCAGAGTAAAAAGGACTCCGCCGCTCTGCTGGATTTACCGAGCTGATGCTCTGCCCTACCCAACTAAGAGAAGCAAACTGCTCTGCTGACCACACTTCAAAAGCTCTGGTCTGCCCCTTCCTATTCTTCCCATTCACAGGACAAGTGCAGTCAAAGGCAAACAAAGGGGGATTGAGTAATCTCACACAAGACTACCTTAGAAACTGTCAGAGCCACCACTAGAGCAGAGCAGCAATCACAT